AAAAAATCCGTATATACAAATTTATCATATAGACCTTACTTAGATTTGATTTACATAGTGCATTGGACACCCCAATATTTTACGTATTTTTTACATGTGTTTACGTATGTTTCCGTGTTCAGATTTCATGTTTCCATGTTTTTCCGAAAATATTTTTTCATAGGGTATTAGTTGGCGGTGAAGCCGCCACATTATCATGTACTAGTTTATAATTAGGTAATGATAAAAGTAATTACTGTATTAAACTTTGACGATAATTAGATCATACTTTACATTTGTGCATAACGATAATAGCTAATTAGAGCCTAATAGATTCAATATGAAATTTAAGATCAGGTGGCTAATATAAAATTTTTGTCCTAAAATTGTTCGAAATGGTTTCGATTTTCCGAACAGGGGGTTTATTCTTATTACGGGACGTTAAAATAGAGAATGTTTAATTAAATGCTTATCGTACAAAAAACGTATAATATTCAATAAACAGCAACAAATAAATAAGTAACAAAGCTTTCATATATTCAATTACACATATTTCTCAAAACAAAAAAATTTTAAATCATATTAAAAAATATACCAATTTCAACAAATAAATCAAATAAATACTAATGTTAATAATAATTTAGATACAGACTATAGTTTAGAAACAGATTTTTACTGAAGATGAAATTGATACTCTTCAACATTTAGAACAGCGACTGAAAATTCTGAAGAAACCTTAATAACAATGATTAAAAATTTAGATGAATTTAATATGCATGATCAAATTTCTTATAATTGAATTATTGAAGAATATAGTACTTGGTCTTTTAATCAGATTAAATATAGCACAGCATTGGAGGATTTATTTCTTTTAGAAAAATTATAACATTTCTCTTAATTTTTAAGTAATGTTTATTTTTTGTTTTCTATTTTTTTAATCATTTGTTAAGTATTTGTTTTTTTTTTTTTGAGCAATTAATTTTTTCATGCGATTTTTTTTTTGAGCGATTTTTTTTGAAAATATGTTTTTTCTAACAAATTGTAAATTTTTTTTGAATTTGATATGAATTACATCATAGCTATTGCATACAAATACCAAGAGCTTTAAATTCTAAGCTATTATTACTTATCTACTATTAATATTAAATAATCGTATATAATCAATATTAAATAATCGTATATAATCAATTTAGCCCATCTCTACACAGGAGAGAGGGATTCACTCTGGATCGGGCGCTGTCTCTGCTGCTGTACAACTATTGATTCTCATGACATAATGATCTACTTTCTTATTGATTCTCATGACATAATGATCTACATTATTGTTAATAAACTTTACCTATAAAAAAGATTGTACGTATAATATATATAATAATTTTTGTTTTAAATATGTGAAAAATGTCTAAAAAAATGCCATTCTGTCAATTCAACACGAATATTATTAGAATATTATACGTACAAATTTCACACAATCCTTTTTATAGGGTTGTCCGAAAGTGAAGCTATAATACACCCGATGCATGTGTTAACAAATTCTAAATTTGTATTTGTAACATTGACCATTTTCTTAATTTTTAATGTGCTGAGTTTTACTTAAAAATGTATAAAGTTTCCATTTTATATTTAATCAGAATATTTTATTATCAATAGTTGGCATTACACTAATCATATCTAATTATTAGTTGGAACGGGATTGCAGATAGGCGATCTTAAAAATCATGTTTGTTTGAATTAAATCTGTTAAAAAATGTTTTAATACATTATAACGTAATTTGATCTGATTGCGTAATTGAGTATTTATGTTTATTAACATTCAAAAAAAAAAAAAAAAAATCAAAAAAATTCTTCAAAGCAATGTTTCATGTTCGTGGAGACACCTTTAAAAGAAATCGTTTAAATTTTACAACAATTGCTGAATCTAATAAACATGGTAGAAAACATCGCGTCAAAAATGCAATTTTTGCGAAGAAGATTGTTGATTCAGTTATCGATTAAAAAACCTCCAAGAAATATGAGATTTATTGAAGGTTCATGATTCTATTTAAGTGACATATACGATTGAATTAATGAGATGGATAAATTATCTGTTCATTGTATTCGGTCGAATAGATTGAATAGTTGGAATAGATAAATACTACTGCATCAGATCACGAGAGATTAGTAATTATACATTATTAAAGATTGAAAATTTAAACAAAAAAATAATGTCGAGCTAATCGAGAATAATCAAAGTTTGCATTTTTTTTTGATTGACTATTCTCATTTTAGATGCTTTTATTACTCGCAAAATAAGTGGATAATGCTTACTATAGCCTTAACTTACCACAATCAATAGGATTATAATCCCAAGAATTTCATCAGTACCTTTATAACTACAAGATATGATTGCTTATCACATGAATTCCAAGATGAATCTTTGGTAAAGCCTCCTCTAATTCCATGAAATTAAACTTGAGTTTTCAGGATCGGTCGGTAGCAAAGTTTTGAGAAATTCCTCATTTTTAATAACAGTTCCAAATTTATTTCCTCCATCTCGATTAGTAAATGAGGCTAGAAAATTTTTGATGCAAAAAGAAGTCTCATCAGAGAATTAAAAAATCTGATATTATCGTACATAGTATGTGATTAAATTTTTCTGATATGGTCTCTCACCAGACATCTAAAAATAATGGATAGGGAATCAGTTTTCAGGATCGAATGGTAGACCAGTGTTTTAAGCAATTCTATTTTCATTTCATCTATTTGTAAATCATCTCGTCTGATAAATGAAACTAAAGCATATTCTTGAAGCAAGGAAAATTTTATTAGCGAATAAAAATTCAATGAAATAGAAAATCATGAATTACTGTAAAATCTTTGTGTACAGAACTTACATGAAATAGTAATACAAAGTGTGTGGTTAAAAGCTATGTAGTGTTTGTATAATGACTCATCTGTTACAGAGCTTACCGACTCTTGTGATGCACACGACACATCAGCAACGACAAAATTGCTTCACTAACAAAGCCAAGGTGCCAGCAGCGACGACAACAGACCACACGTAAACACTAAGAGTCCGTCGCTACGCTCCGGACAATGAATTATACCAAGACAATATTTGACTTGGAAAGAAAAATAAAGAATTTGCTCTCACATGTAATTTCTTTTAAGTTTTGCTTAGGCAACTAAATTTATAAGTTTAGATACTGCAATAAATCTTAGAATAAAGAACTCGCAACTGATATTATATTTGTAGATGTATCAAGGATTTGCACATTTGCTAACGTCCTTTTTAATGGTTCTTTTTTTTTGACAGAATACAAATATTATGGCAAATATGCATTTATACAAGAATAATATAAAAACATTGCTTTTATTATAAATCTAGTATAGATGTATCTTATAAGTAATATATAGCAATTGATAAAATTTAAATACTGTACTATTTTAAATTTAATTCCAAGTATAAGACCTAATAATTAGAGCTCTAGCACACAAAACATTACCGTTTTTCTAGTATAATTGACATATTCAATTTTGTATCATTAGACGTAAGCTAATTAATATCGCATTTCACGTGGACAAGTCATTTTTACAACTACCTCAAGATCACCTCCAAAAATTCTACGTACAAATTAGCTTTCAAAATTCAGGTGTAACGTAAAATTATGCACTTTTTGAAAAATCGTTTGTAGCTCTAATCTTGCCTATGAAACTGTTTTTGTGTTCTAACAAAAAATTTTCTCGACGAAATATAATATCCTCTAACCTCACCCTAAAGCTAACCCTAGTGTTGAGGTTTTATTATTTTACATTTTTCGTTTATTCGATTGTTTTGATTGTTTTATTTCACGTTACTCATGATCTCAAATCTGATTTGGCTGATTTTTTGAGGTGTTCATGGTAGGAATGGCAAATGTTTTTTTATTACGTAATTAAAAACAGGTGAAGGTAAATTAAAAAAACAGCAAGCATTATTTAAATCAGTATTCGAACTTTAATCATATGTTTTAAACAGGTGAAAAATGTGTTAACCTGTTTTTTTACCACCCCTAGTTCTTGGGGTAAGTCATTTTTCGATTGATAAAAAATTTATATACCTGTATAAATAGTATACAAACTAATATAGCAGATTTAATTTTTTTTATGCGTCAATATGTATACTATAAGCTTTTTTTAAAATAATTATTTTATGCGCATATGTATACTATACGTTTTTCCCATTAGTTATATGATTATTTACAACACTGCATCACCAGTGCAGCAGTAGTAACAACATTTTAGACATACTCCAAACAATCATACTTCTTTTCTTATTGTGCTATATAATATATAAAAATAGAAAATAATAATTTAAATAAATATGCATAGTAAACGGTGTTGTTAATTTGCAACGCTAGCACCTGTAAGAATTTTATTATTTATGCTTCAATTATATAATATCAATTATTTTTTAAAGTCATATACAGTAAAAAATTAAATTCTTATAGATTTTAATTTGATTACATTTAACAAATAAATATTTACCTCGCACACACACTGCAATTGAACAAGGTTTTGGCAAAATCCTTGTTCAATATTTGTCGTCTTCGCTTCTACTGTGCAAAGAATATTCTCATCTTTCTTAATGGTATAGTCAAGTTTGCCTCTACCGTTAATTCCAGACAAGAACCATTCTCTACGCAATGTTCTGTTTCCCATCTTGCCTAAAGTACTACGTAAAATAACAGATAAATTCACATCTCTCTGCTTCGTTGCAGTCGTCAATAGAGCCTGCTTGATCCAAAATCGTCTTTAAAAAAGAAAAATTATATTAGAATTTGCATACACTATATATGTAATCCAAAATAAATTTCTCAAAGCTAGTTTTAATTTAAAACTGAGAAATCAAACCTTGACTTGCTGCACAGAAGAGTTTATCGCCTTATCAGAAGGTGTTATATTTTCCGTAGAAGCTATTAGAAGTATTTAAAATTATTAAATGAAATAAATTAAACAAATATATTACTTACAAGTTCTAATTTGAGCAGTTCGTCAATTCTCTCCGCACCTTGGCGACACGCTGTTTCTGTTTTTCATTTTTCACCTAAAATGAATAAATAAGAAAAACAATATACTAAAGAATAAATAAATAAAAAAAACAACATACTGAAAATAATATATATATAAGCAACAAAGTGTAAATCAGAGACAGTGAAAAGAAAAAGTCTTCGTAAAAACTACATAAATTTTGATGTTACCCCCTGATTCTGGCTATTTATTTCGACATATAATATTGTCGATCATTTACTTTTTTTTCTCGTACATAACGATAATCTTATCATCGCCAGATTAGTTGGTCTCTGTGGCTTTAGTTTTTGCTT